CTTGCTCGGGAGCTATTAATAGTTGGTTATTAACATTTTAATCTCTTATCCTTTAAACAGGAACAAGCATTATTACATCCCTCTATTCGGCTTGTGATGTTTTATCACACAAATACTACTAACAACTTCCTGGCTAAAATCTATGCTTTATGAATTACTGAACAAAATCCAACTAATTGAGTTCACACTGATGCCTGGCAAAAGGATATTAATAAGCCCAATAACTTGTATAAATAGAGTAAAAGTGAAAAATTACAGGCTCTTGCTCCAGGATTGTATACGATGTTTATCATTATAACCCATACATTGTGTATAAAATGGGCAGTAACCTAATGCAGAGGTTCTCAATCTTTTTCTTTCTGACTCCCCCCCCCCCAACATGCTATAAAAACTCCACGGCTCACCTGTGTCACAATAACGGGTTTTCTGCATATAAAAGCCAGGGTCTGCGTTAGGGGGTAACAAGCAGGGCAATTGCCTGGGCCTTATGCCACAGGAGCCCCCACAAAGCTACATTGCTCAGGCTTCAGCATCAGCCCGGGTGGTGGGGCTCAGGGGCCAGGCTTTAATTCCATGCAGCAAGGCTTTGGCTTTCTGCCCTGGGCCCCAGTGAGTCTAATACTGGCCCTGCTTGGCGGCCTCCCCAAAACCTGCTCACAGTTCCCCAGGGGGCTCGGACCCCTGGTTGAGCGCCACTGACCTAACCGACTGTGTCCCTGATCCTCAAAGGTATTTAGGCTTTTAACATTAATTTAAATCAATGGAAGTTTGAGGATCTGGGCCTGTGAGGTGGAGGAACTGTAGTCAGGCTGGTAATATGATGCATAGATCCTGGAACTGCCCAAAAATTAAAAGATTTTGGCTTGTTGTAGAAAGGCAATGCAATTGAATTATAAACTAATCTTGAGAAATCTCCCATGTTAACACAACTAGTGGGCAAAATACTAATCTTTTTGGTGATTAGTTCTTTGAATTATTATTCCTGATGACTGCAGTAAAAGCAATGCTTCAGAGTCTGGACCAAAATTTGGGAAGCTTTAACCACGTAAAACAAATCAACAGCCTAAAATGGGATGTACGCAACAAGTACTTGAACATGTGGTTAGCCATCATTATTTAGGGTCAGATTCTTCAGACCTTAATGGCGCAAAACTCCCATTAAGCTGATGGGGAGTTTTGCTTTGTCAAACATTGTAAAATTTAGGAGGGCTGACAAGCAATTAAAAAAATTAATCTTGATTAATTGCGTGATTAATCGCACTATTAAACAATAATACAATACCATTTACTTAAATATTTTGGGATGTTTTCTACATTTTCAAATATATTGATTTCAATTACAACATAGAATACAAAGTGTACAAAATGCATCCGATGAAAAGAGCTGTAGCTCACGAAAGCTTATGCTCAAATAAATTGGTTAATCTCTAAGGTGCCACAAGTACTCCTTTTCTTTTTGCAAAGTGTACAGTGCTCACTTTATATTTTTTTGATTACAAGTATTTGCACTGTAAAAAAAACAAAAGAAATAGTATTTTTCAATTCACCTAATACAAGTACTGTAGTGCAATCTCTTTATCATGGAAGTTGAACTTATAAATGTACAAAAAAACTGCATTCAAAAATAAAACAAGGTAAACTTTTAGCGCCTGCAAGTCCACTCAGTAATCATTCTTGTTCAGCCAATCGCACAGACAAACAAGTTTGTTTACATTTTCAGGAGATAATGTTGCCCACTTCTTGTTTACGTCACCTGAAAATGAGAACAGGCATTCTCATGGCACTGTTGTAGTCGGTGTCGCAAGATATTTAAGTGCCAGATGCGCTGAAGATTCATATATCCCTTCATGCTTCAACCATCATTCCAGGGGACATGCGTCCATGCTGATGATGGGTTCTGCCTGATAACGATCCAAAGCAGGGCGGATCAACGCATGTTCATTTTCATTATCGGAGTCAGACGCCATTAGCAGAAGGTTGATTTTCTTTTTTGGTGGTTCGGTTTCTGTACTTTCCACATAGGAGAGTTGCTCTTTTAAGACTTCTGAAAACACCTCGTCCTTCTCAGATTTTGGAAGGCACTTCAGATTCTTAAACCTTGGGTCGGGTGCTGTAGCTATCTTTAGAAATCTCACATTCGTATCTTCTTTGCGTTTTGTGAAATCTGCAGTGAAAGTGTTCTTAAAATGACAGGTTTCAGAGTAACAGCCGTGTTAGTCTGTATTCGCAAAAAGAAAAGGAGTACTTGTGGCACCTTAGAGACTAACCAATTTATTTGAGCATAAGCTTTTGTGAGCCTTAGAGACTAACCAATTTATTTGAGCATAAGCTTTCGTGAGCTACAGCTCACTCCAAAGTGAGCTGTAGCGCACGAAAGCTTATGCTCAAATAAATTGGTTAGTCTCTAAGGTGCCACAAGTACTCCTTTTCTTTTTGTTCTTAAAACAAACAACATGTGGTGGGTCACCATCTAAGACTGCTAACACACATGGAATAGTGGCCGAAGCAAGAAGGGGCAAATGGATGTTTAGCATATCTGGCATATAAATAAATACCTTGCAATGCCAGCTACAAAAGTGCCATGCAAATACCTGTTCTCACTTTCTGGTGACACTGTAAACAAGAAGAGGGCAGTATTATCCCCAGTAAATGTAAACAAACTTGTTTGTCTTAGTGACTGGCTGAGCAAGAGGTAGGACTGAGTGGACTTGTAGGCTCTGAAGTTTTACACTGTTTTCATTTTGAGTGCAGTTATGTAACAAAACAAAACGTACATTTGTAAGTTGTCCTTTCACAACAAAGATTGCACTATAGTACTTGTATAATGTGAATTGAAAAATACTATTTTTTTGTTTAACATTTTTACAATGCAAATATTTGTAATAAAAATATATACTTTGGTTTCAATTACAACACAGAATACAATATACATGAAAATATAGAAAAACATCCAAAATATTTAATAAATTTCAATTGGTATTCTATTAACAGTGCAATTAAAATTGCAAGTAATCCCAATTAATTTTTTTAATTGCGATTACTTTTTTTTTTAGTTAATCGCGTGAGTTAACGGATTAATTGACATCCCTAAATTTTAGTCCTTATATTGAAGGAAATATGGATTGGGAAACTCTCTCTTCTGTAGAACTTTTTACATTGAGTCAGATTTTGTTAACCTTACTCAGGTTGACTAGCATTTTACTCTGCAGGTACGCCATCTGATTTCAGTGGGACTATGTAGGGGATGAGGTTCGATTTGGCATGCAGAAAGGTGGCAAAACTCAGCTCTTAAACTGTACAGTTTATTTCACTTTATTTCCTTTCACTATATATGTAAACTTCTAAAATGCTCTTTGTTCCATGTGACCTATTCTTTTTCATAATGGTCAGGCGGTTCTGAGCTATGATTCCTGCTTTTTCGGCAAAATAGGATCATTTTATTGTTACCTCATCTTCCCCTTTGCCTATTTTATACATCTGTTGTGTCTTGTCACACAGTTGGCTTGTCAAATCTCTGGGACAGGGGTGGTCTTTTCACTATGTGTTTGTACACTTCATATCATAACAAGGCTCTAGGGTTGCCAACTTTCTGATTGCACAAAACCAAACACCCCTGCCCAGTGCCTTCTCTGAGTCCCTGCCCCTACCCTGCCCCTTTTCAGAAGGGGTTCCTGGCCAATGGGAGCTGCGCAGCCGGCGCTCGGGGCAGTGCCTGTGCTGCGGGCAGAGGCAGCGCACGAAGCCCCCCTGGCTGCACCGGCACCGAGGAGCTGGAGGGACACGCCGGCCTCTTCCAAGAGCTGCATGGAACTGGCTGCTGTGGCCAGACTTTTAGCAGCCCACTCAGCAGTGCTAACCAGAGCCACCAGGGTCCCTTTTCGACTGAGCGTTCCAGTAAAAAAACAGATGCCTGGCAACCCTATCAGGCTCTCACCCCGATGTGCTACTGTGCTGTAAATAAAAATACTTCGTTCTTATACAGTACTCTAGCTGTTGTTTTAAATTATTCCCATCTCACCAGAGTTCCTTCCCCACGTTATCTGTGGGGCAGGGCCCAGCGCTCCCCCTGCTCTGTGGGGATGGTCAGGTATTTTTCCCCACTCCACTTCCACCCCTAAGAGGCTCAGCCGTCCAGCTGGGCCTGGACAGTCCACTCTTCTGGGGTTGGAAGTGAACAGAACAAAAGAAGAATTAACACAAGTGAATCATCCCCAAACTGGGTAAAAGAAGCTCTTGTCCGTCACCGGGTGTTCAGCAGGCTGCAGCCCTAAGCTGAGTTCACAAATAAATAGCAGGGTATAGTCCCGCCCCAGGGAGAGTCAGTCTCAGGTCTCCCTTCCTTCTGGAAGGGGTCATTGGGCAGTGGCTATTCGAGACGCTCCTGCCTTCAGCTAGCCCCTCTCCAGGCACTGAGGACTGAATTCAGCTCTCCTCTCAAGTCTGCCTGAGCCCAGAACCCTTCTAAGTTCCTTCCTCCATTTTTGACCTCTCTCTCAGGTGTGATGGGGCCAGGGCCAGCTGAGCCCCCAGTGGCTTGTTAACCCCATGGGGTTTGCATACCCCCTCACACACCTTTCAAGGAAAATGATGGCGACCTTGTCCCATGCGGGGGGGGGGGGGCGCTAGTGGTTTAAGATCAATGTAATTTCTGTTTGGTTCACACAATTAAACTCCTTCCAACTGTGGCAGAATTGGTGAACACCCATCTCCGGAGATACCAGCTACTGCACAGAGCCACTGTGCCCCCAGTTCCTCCACTAATCACTTGGTCAATTCAAAACCAAATGCCCACAGGCTGATCCTCTGGCGGCGGGTAAGGGAAGTCACCACCACCATGCCGGCAGCACAAACCCCGGGTAAGGGTGCGTACCTACCACCCAGCAGTGAGGTTTGCAAAATTGCAGGTCTCCTCGCCTGGGCCCACAGCGTGTAAGCCCTACATGCCAAAGCGCCTCACCAAACATCAGTGTCCCCTCTTGCAATGGCGCTAATTAAATTACCTTTACTGTCCCGGTGGCCTCAGCCATTGCTAGGGAGGCCAGTGCACACCCTGGGCCTCGGAGCAGCAGCCCCGCGCCTTCCCGCTCCGCCTCCATGTCGGGCGGGTTGGAAAGTCTGTTCGGGTGCCCTGTTCTGCTTGCATCACATCGCGGCTCCCAAGGAAGGAGAGGGAGGCCCGGACACCCGGGTGCGTGTCGCTCCGCCGGCGCTGCCGCAGCAGCAGCGGGGCTTGCGGTGCCGCTTGGCCCGCTGCCGGGCGCTGGGGAGGGGCGGCGAGGGCGGAGGGCGCCTGCGCTGCCACCCCCTCGACCGCCCGCGAGCGCGGGGCGCGGGGCGTGGGGCGTGGGGGGGGGGTGCGCGCGCTCTCCCCGCCCCCTGGCTCCCGGCGCGGCGCAGCTGTCGCTGTGCAGGCGGAGGGGGCAGGCGGGCTGCGGATTCCTCCAGTCACTCCCTTTCGCTCCAGTCACTCCCTTTCGCTCCAGCCACTGCCCGGAGCGGCGTCGCCCCCACTCGCCGCTGCGGTGCGGAGCGGAGCCCTCAGCTTGCCGCGACGGGAGCGGCTCCCCAGCCCGGCGAGGTAGGGGCTCTCGGTGCATGCGGACAACATGGCACAGCCATGAGCGGACCCCCCCGCCCCCGTAAGAGTCCTGCCCCCTCCCCGCAGGCTGCAGGGAGGCATGGCAGAGGCCGGAGGCCGGGGGGATGTCCCCTCCCCATGGGGAAGAGCACACGCAGGGGACAGTAAGGCTGGGAAGCGGGAAGTGTGTGTATCTGATGGGGCGGGGGACTGCAGAGAAAGGAGGCGAGGGCCTGTGATGCACCCGGCTGAGTCTCCCTCTGCAGAGGGAGAGGGGGAGAGAAAGGCTTTGCCCCTGCCGCGGCGCGGGGGACGGGGCCGTGGGCTTGCCAGCCCGGCTGGAGCTGGTGGGAGTGGGTGCGGGCTGCGCGCACCCAGCGCTATAGCCGGCTCCATCCCTCTGTTGCAGTGGGGTTATTGTGCCCCCTCCGCGGTCTGGTTTGTGCGTGGACAAGGCGATGAATGGTCCAGCCGCAAAACCGGGCAACGACGGGGGAGCGAATGACAGCAGGGAGCTTCAAACCCCCCCGGACCGTGGGAGCCTGGCATAGGTGGCTGCCTGTAACGGTACATGGGATGCAAACAGGCGTGGTCGGGAGCTAGCTGCGCTGCTGCCGCCGCCGCCTCCTCTTCCCCCCCCCCAGGTCTTTCTGGACTGGGCGCACACCAGCTCTGGAGGAGACCGGTCAGTTTCCCCTCTCTCCTTCCCTACCCCCAGGACTTCAACAGGTTCGTGTTTTAGGGTTGGATGTGGATCTGCCAGGGTTCCCTCTGTTGGTATAATCGGCATCTTCGTTACGTATTGGTTGGATTGCGGTAATAGTGCCTTTCCAGACCATAAAGCCTAATCAGATTTGAATTTATCTGTGTGGAATGAGAAGGACGTTTCGCCTCCCTGTTCGCTCTGTTGCAGTATTTATATTTGGGAAGCATGTGTGTGCAAATCATGCCTGTGTTATATATTGTTATGGTTTTCCCTTTCCTTTATGCCTGAGGAGAAATGATGCAGCACAATGCAGTGATCTGACAACGTTTATTCGGGTCTTTCCGGCTACATTTTGCATGATTCCCTTATGCACTGTCAAAACCCCACCCAACAGGAAATCGAGATTGTTTTTTTCCCGGGAACAAACGCAATCACCGCCCTATCATTCTACCCGCTTGCCTTTTATGTTGGTGGTTTGTGACTCTGATCAGTGTGTCGTGGAGGTGCAGATGGCAATTGTGCGTTTAGGGTGTGTGTGTGTGTGTTTTTGCTTGCTCTTGGTTTCTGTAATGAAGGGGGAGTTATGCGATTGCAGTTCTGCAGCTCTAATGCGGTCTGATGGAGTCCAGCCTGCAGCTGTGGAACATTAATCTGATACTACAAAAGTAGCAGCATTAGGGAGGGGTTAGAGGAAGAATGTTATTGTAAATGAGAGGAAACGGTGTACATTTATATTGTACCAGATAGGCACCTACTGTTCTTGCACCATTTAAACGCAGACTGTATGTAAATCAGGTGGATATAGTCAGACTGGTTCTCGATATTAAGTGCCCTTTCACATTATGCAGGAGAGCATGTTAGACCACCTGGTATTTCTTTACTTTATACATGAAAGGTATTTGTGCTGTCATCACCATTAAATCTTTAAATTCTCATACTGTACATTTAGGAATCTAAAATGTTTTTTTGCAATTTCATTAGTCTCCTTTCAGATTGTTACACAATTCTGTTGCTTATATTTACAGAAGAAACATTTGTTTTATTTGGAGTGTTTGACTTCCTGACTTCTAAATGATTAGCCATATAAAGTTCAAACTTATTGGTTATGAGGCTTTGGCTTAAATTTTTAATAGTCTGAAAGTTTTATGGACCTGAAATGCCTGTATTACTGAGGTGAATACATAATTAAAAAGGCATAATGCATGGAATTTGTATCTTCCAGATCAACAGAGTAGTTTGATGTCTACAGGCCTGTTTTAACCAAAAAAACCCAAAAAAACCAAAAAACCCCCCAAAAAACAAAAACTCCACCAAAAAGCAGAGTTCTGCCAAATATTGCAAGACTGCAGTATCTCTGAAAAATCCGTCTTTCATAGCAGTGTAAAGTGACATTTTAAAATCAAGATGACTTAAAAATAATAATTTAAACATAGATCCTTTGATTTTGAAGTATATGAAACATTTAATCTATTACAAGACTTAACTTTTACGCAAAAATCGAGTAAGCAATTGAATATAACATAAATTCCATTCCAGTCCTCCAGTTCTGAGGAAATTTGCATCCTTACAGTCAGAAGGGTGGGGTGGTGGGAGAGAAGAGAGATTGCTTTCTAGATAATGTCTACATAAGATTTTGTGCTTTCATCATGAGATTGTCCATAGACCTAGATTTTGAATTATCAATATAAAAAGTAAAATTCCTGTAAATGGAAAATAAAACTACCAAGGTTTGAGATTTCTTGAAACATTATATACAAAGGTTTGTTGATAGAATTGTGGATATTATGAGCTAGGTGACTGATTTTTGATTATTTCTGGCCTGTCCTGAAGATTATCTAGGCAGTTGGTGTTTATTACTTTATTAAAGAAATCTTAGCAGTGTGGAAGCGTCACAGGAAACTTATCCATTTTGACTTGTTAGCCAATGTGCAAAACTCCCAACCAGAAAAAGGACTTGAATGTACGATGAAGCCTCTAGAGTAGTCGTATTTACCACTGTGGGCTGCATTTACACAATATATATACTACCTGTATGGCCCTGAGGATGTCACATGGGCTGCAGCTATGTGCCGATTTGGCCAAAAGCGGCCCGTGGGCTGAGAATCACTGCTCTAGAGTAAAAGATGTACGTTTATGATGGTAATGGTGACAAAAAGCAGTAGGTGGCCAAAGAATTAGTTGCTTTTACCAAATTCACTTCTACTGTTTAACAGTCTAGTTGTCAAGATGGTTGACTTTTCTGAAGAAAACTTGCAAAAATGGTGGTTGTGATTCTAGTGTGACACAGCAATTCTTGGTGATTAGTGCTGGCTGGTTAATGTGTCGCAACTGATACTAGGAAGACACTAAATAAAATGAATAAACCATAGTATTTTTGCAATATTAAACCATACAGTTTATTCTTTGCATACTGTAACAAAGTTGGTACTAAATCTGGTAGTAGAGTAGTAGCATTGCTGTAGAACAAGTTCAATGAAGTAAATTGTATGTGGTAAAAGGTAAAGCTTTTGATGGAACATAAATTAGTAGTTGTGTCAGAAAGTGTTGTAGAACCCTATTTCAGCTTTAGTGTGGGATGAATCCAGAAACCCTTGGGATTAATCTGTACGTGCTCCCAAGGATGGAACAGACTGATGGTGAAACGTTTGTGCTCACGCTGGTCATGTTGTACACAAACCAAAGCACTACTGCATGATCTAATTTAAGGCCTACCTGCCTTTAAATTGGACATATACCTTCAAAAGAAATGTGATGAAAGCCCTTTTTTCATATAAAGATTTCTTGAACTACCTCTCCTTTATCAAGGGCCCCCACAGTGATCATTGACATTACATAGGCTTGGAGAAGTATTTTATATGGGTCAGTGTGACATGAGTCCTACCAAATTCATGGTCCATTTTTGTAAATTTCACAGTGGTAGCATTTAAAAAAATCTTGAATTTCGTGGTTTCAGATATTTATATCTTAAATGTCATGGTGTTGTAACAAAACATGAATATGTATTTTAAAAAGGCAAAATATAAACATGTAAACCCCTTAAAACTATTTCTCAAACTGGGTGTCTGGACCCAAAAAATGGGTCACAAGGCGATTGTAGAGGGGGTCACAGTATGGCACAGTAGAGCTGGGTGCCCAGCTCTGAAGGCAGCACCACCACCAGTAGCAGCATGGGAGTAAGGGTGGCAATACTTTAATCCTCCCCACAATAGCTTTGTGACCCTCTTTTGGGTTGGGACTCCTAGATTGAGAAATGCTGTGTAGTTTTGTATATTTTTTACCCTGTAGTATAGGGTACTTTTATAGTATATAGTAAAAATACACAAAAGACCAGATTTCACAGCGGAGACAAGATTTCATGGTCCATGACTCGTTTTTCATGGCCATGAATTTGGTCGGGCCCCAGACATGAGACATTCACCTCTTTTGTGAGTGCCTCCTGTTGGCTGGGTGTGGTGCTGCAGTCTTTTTTTCTCCTGGCACCCCCTACAGGTTGTCAGCCTCATTAGGCAGGTCTTCAGTGGCTCAGTTCTCCAGCCAAGTCACACAGCTGATATGGTTGAACCCTTTCCAGAGTAGGGAAAGTCCAGCAAAACTATTTGTCCTCACCAGGGTCTTCCGCCCTGTCTGTAGGCGCTTTACATCCCAACTTTCACCCAGGCTTCTAAGCTAGCCTTGTCCTCTTTTTGGGGCCTTAGGCTGCTTTCCCAGGGGCTTGTGTGGGTGCAGAAAAGGATCTGGGGATTACAGGGGATGAGAAGCCGGATATGAGTCAGCAGTGTGCCCTTGTTGCCAAGAAGGCTAACGGCATATTGGGCTGTATTAGTAGGAGCATTGCCAGCTGATCGAGGGAAGTGATTATTCCCCTCTGTTTGGCACTGGTGAGGCCACATCTGGAGTATTGTATCCAGTTTTGGGCCCCCCACCCACAAAGGATGTGGACAAATTGGAGAGAGTCCAGCAGAGGGCAACGAAAATGAT